CCCTCCCTCCAGCCCGAGAGCATCCTTGTATGTGCTGGGCTCCCTACCTGGTACCCCTTCCTCTTCTTCAGCCGCTTCTTGTTGAGCTTCTTGCAGGCGTACATCTTGCCAGTTGCCTTCATCTGGCAGGCAGACACCTCCCCGAAGCCCCCTTTCCCCAGGACCCTGAAGTCCAAGAACCAGTCTTCACCTATGGGCTGGGCTTCCAACCACTTCCACTGAAGAAACCGCAGGAAGTACAGGCTTCCCAGGTACTCCTGGAAGGGGGCCTGGCTCAAGTGATCCAGGGTGGCCTGCAGCAGAGGCTGGAAGAGGCCATCCTGGGTGCTAGCTGACCCTTCCTTCACCCTTGCCACCATGCCCTGGTCTAGAAAGTTGCAGAAGAGTGTGGCCTTTGGGTCCAGGTACTCAGCCAGGATGGCCTGTACCTTCTGCGGCCTCAGGTCATCATCAGCCGTGTCATAGTCCTCAATGTCCTTCCAGAGCTCCAGGGCTGGCACATGTCTCTTATCTGTCTTCAGGAACTGTTGGAAGAGCCTCTTGCCAATGGGTTGCTCTGAGCACAGGCTCTCAAACTCCAGGTCGATGCTGTCACGGAGACTCTCGCACTTGGACAGCGGGGGCAAGCGGAGCTTGGCCAGATACTTCTTGTCTCGGGATGACGGAGAGCTGCTTCCATCAAAGCTGCCTCGGGCAGCGATGAAGGCAGAGTTGGCCACCACGGTCTCCAAGGACCCGAAATCCATCCCGATGGTGCCCCGTATCCACTTCAAGTGTTAAGATCCATAAGCTGAAATCAAGCTCAAGACGCCTGCAGCCAAAGCAGGGCTGACCCTATGCCCTTGGCCTGTGGCCTGTTCCTGCCCTTATGGGACAACGGAGGCATGCAGCTGTGGCTAGGATGCTTGGGCACCCACTGAGAGGCCTAGAGAGGCCAGGGCTGACAAGCATCTAGCTAAATCCCGGCCCCGGGGGTCACTGAGGACGCCTTAGGGGTGACCAGCAGCGCCAGAAAAAGACAATCCCCTAAGCTGCTTCAAATCGGATTAGAGTTCAGTGCAGCTCTTTCACCCGGGGGTTGCCGTCATGTTCCAGAGGGAAGGGCATACCGAAGGCTCCTTGGGAGTAGTTACATCCTTCCTTGGCCTTGGCCGATGGGCAGGACCTGTCTGTGTCCTGCTGGGATGTGGGTCTGGGGTAGAGGGTGGTCAGTCCCAGGACATCTCCATTTCTAAAGATGGTTGTTTTCTGCACTATTTCAATTTTACCCTTAAGAAAGTAGCAGGCAAGCCAGGAGTGGTGGCACACACCTATAATCCCAGCACTCTGGGAGGCAGAGGCAGGCAGAATCTCTGTTGAGTTCAAGGCCAGCCTGGTCTACAAAGTGAGTACAGGACAGCCAAGGATACACAGAGAAACTCTGTCTCAAAAAATAAAAAACAAAGTATCAGGCGAGAAGCCCCCCAATAACAGGAATCTAGAGGGAAAGCTCACAGTGACCAGCTTCCCCATCTGTAGGTGACACCGTGGACACTTGCTGGGGGACCAACAAGTCTTCTCCTTGAAGAAGATTTACCACAAGATGGTTAGAGGACAAAGATAGGGGGCAGGAGACCCACAGACCATCACACTGAGTTCCCAGTCAAGCCAGAAGGCTCATGGGGCAAGAGCATGGGGTGTATCTAGGACTCAGCTGGGCACACCGGAGACAGGCTTGAAATAGCAGGGACTCATCTGGGGCACACTCAGGACCCAGCTCAGACGCACCTGGGGGATGGCAGAATCTGTGGGCATGTCACCATCTCCTGGGGATGTCTGTCATGTCTGTAGGGACTCCTGACAGTTTGAGTAGGAGCCACAGGGAGTGAGCACCTCCAGGGAGGAGAAAGGGAAGGGTTGAGAATTAATGAAAACCCAAGTTGAGAGGCTAGAGTGTTCAGGCCACCCACCTTCTCTGAAGGGCAGCGGTGTGCTTCGGGTAGGGACAGGATCTTCTTTTGTGACTGAGGAAGTGAAAAGAGAAAACGTCTGGTGAATGACAACCCCCACTCTCTCCCACACCCCTGCCTCCTAGCAAGGGCTTGTGACAGGAAGATTGGCGAGTAAATATTTGAGGTAAATACTCTTTTACTGTCCCCAGGTGACCTGTGCTAGTTCCAGCCCTGTCACTTAAGCAGCTGGTGACCTTGGAGTGCCTGTAGCTGACTCTTGCACCAATCAGGGGGACACTGTTTTTAACCATGGGGTATGTTGCCAGCAGAGCCACCCGGAGCACTGAGATCCATATTCCACCTCCCCAAAGGGCTTCGTGGACTCAGGCCTCCTTCTCTGACAGGCCCCCAGGTGACTTACATGGAAGCCTCAGGTCAGGACTGTGAAAGGGTTAGGGCTGAAGAATCCAGACTGCCTTCACACCAGGAAGGCCCCTTGTGGAAGGGGCTGAGGAGAGTCTGGCCACCAAAGTAGGAGGAGTTAATTTCTCAGACCAGACTATTCAGACAGAGGGGCAGAGTACACAGTGTCTCCCAAGCTCTTCTCTTGGGTATCCTTGTTCAGTTAAACTTTTGAGTAACAGCAGAGCGTATACATGTGGGGACAGTGAGAGGAGCGAGGGGGAAATGGGGAGAAGGATCCCCCAACAGTAATAACTCCCCAAATTTCAGCACAGCATCTCAGCAGATCTCTGACACGGAAGCAGTGGACTCGGGATTCCAGTGACACCAGGACCCTTGAGCTGCCCTTTGCAGACAAGCCTTTCCCACACCCTCAGCCCCCAGAGACTGCAGGCCTGCTGTCTGTGGTTTCGCTGTACCACTGAAAGGGGGCTGTGTGAACACCGATCCAGTAGGGGACGAGGTTTTTTTCTCTAGAAGTGGATGGCAGTACCCAAAGCTCCGTCCTTCCGTATCTGAACATTGCTCCATGTTGTGCTCCCTCCGTGTTCTACCTGGTCACCCACAGGAAGACATGTGGCTCCTTTCCAGGCTCGAGTTGTTACATACAAAGGGGTGTGTGTGTGTGTGTGTGTGTGTGTGTGTGTGTGTGTAAATTTCTACTTCTCTGAGATAAACGCCCAAGAGTATAATTCTGGATAGCTTTGTGTTTGTTCTAAAACACTGACAGACTGGTTTCCAGGGACATGCCTATCTTCCTTCTCTCCAGCAGCCCTTGGAGCCAGACACCACGTCCTTGCCAGGACTGGACGCTTGCTTGCTTACTTGGCCATTCTGTGCTGGTAATGTTCATTAACACACATTAACTGGACAAAACAACAAGTTTCACATACATGCGTAATGTTCTGAACATATTCACTCCCCCATCATTCTCTGGTCTCCCCTCCTCTTCCCACTGACTTCCTTCCTAGATAGTTGCCCCTTCTACTTTCATGTCTCTGGGAATGTTTTGGCTTCTATTTTATCTACCTTCTGTATATGTTAGGTAACTTGTGACACTTGTCTGGATCTGGCTTATTTCACTTAACATAATATCCAGCTCCACCCATTTTCCTGAATGTGAAATTATTTCTTTGTTCTTTGTGGTTTTAACTTGCCTCTCCCCAAGAGCACTTTCCAATAGGCCAGTGTGCCAGCCATGCCTCCACTTTGGGGTAACATTTCGAGTATCTTTCTGCCATATTCTAACTTCGGGACTGTTTGGTTTTTATCATTGAAACTGAAGATTCGTTCTCATGTTTGTCATGTGCCTGGCCCTTTGTCAAATGGGTGCTTCTCAAATGTCTTCTCCAGAGGCAGCGTGTCTTTCATTTATCTCTGGGCTGCCATGGGCTGCAGTTTCTCTGTCCAATTTACACATTTCTTTTCGTGGGTTACTTTCTTGGTATTAAGTCTAAGGGAAAGCCTGCGTGGATGTGACCATAAACGAGTTCCTGGTGGTGGGTGACCATTCACATGGGCCAGGCTTTGTCTTGGGCTCATTTGAAAAAGTACAGAGCACACCCCACCTCCATAGTGTCTCCTCCCCTTCCAGAAGTAGACACCTGGCCAGCAGATGCTGCTTTCAACCTGAGTTGGTCGCACATTTATGGAATTTATGGAGCTCTTCCCAGCTGGAGCACAGGGCAGTAGCCGAGGGACACTTATAAAGTACCAGGTGGGGGCAGGCATCTGGCATTTGTAGCCCTGTGTTATCTATCCACTCTACCCTTGAGTTGGACCCTGGCAGTGCCTCCAATGGTCAGCACAGCCCAGCTGGGTATAAGACACACAGAGGCTCCTCCCAATAGCTCCAATACCAGAACCTAATCAGCAAGAAGCTGGGACAGAGGCACCTTCAGGTCCCGTGAGTGGGAGTCCCTCTGCAGACACAAGGAACCTTAAAGGTGCTCTAGTCCCACCATCCAGCAAAGGGCAAGAAAACATTATCCTCATGGCAGAGACAAGACAGGATCCCTCTGTGACAGCACTTCCGTCTCTGTTCACTGTGGGCCTTTACTGTTGTCTCCAGCCATTCCCTCTGTGACTCTGCCCCCACCACCATCAGCAGAAGCAAAACACTGAAGACAGGGCTGCAGGGCCACTCCAGGGCAGCAGTGGGCACATTTCAGGCACAGTCCTAATGAGCAGGGGAGTCCTTCTCCACAGTCCTAATGAGCAGGGGAGTCTCAGGGAAGCAGTTCAAGGTCCCTGACCTGAATGGGGAGATGGCTGGTTATCAGGCCTCTGGCATTTTACCTGGAAACTGCCAGTTTGTTTTCCCTCCCCTGAAGGAGGGGTGAGGCACAACCTAGAAGGCTGTTCATACCAGAAATGCTTCCCTTCAGTTGCCATCAGGGTAAATTGTCAGCCAAGGGCATCCCAAGGGCCAGGTGACTTCTGGGACAGTAGAGGGCAGATAGCAGGCAAGCCCCAACCCTCCCTTGTGTTTGTAGAGGCGATAGTGGGGAACTGATAGCTGGCTGTGACACCTTTGGCCTCATATAGAGGAGGCTATAAGCCCCAGAGGACGCTTCCCGGGCCCAGTCCTGGCAAGCAGGAGAGAACATGGCAGCCCTGCAGGAGAAGAAGTCATGCAGCCAGCGCATGGCCGAATTCCGGCACTACTGTTGGAACTCGGACACTGGGCAGATGCTGGGCCGCACCCCAGCCCGGTGGGGTAGGTGTGGGCCATGTGAAGGGGGTGTGGGGTGAGGCAGAGGGCTGGCAGCTGGTGGGACCCAGGCCCTGATGCCTCACCTCTCAGCAGGAAGCCAGGGTCCCAGACGGCCCTGAACTGGGAGTCTGGCTCGGACTCCAGAATACCCACCACCACAGGTCCAAGACTGACCTCAACTTTATCCAGAATTAGGAAACAGCATTTGAAAGATCTTTCTAAAACTAATATTTTTTAAGTCATAGCAAGTGATGGTAGCTTCTTGTTCAGATCACTTGGGAGGCAAAGATTTATTTCGGTGAACTTGTTCTACTGTGAGAGTTGACAGGACCCCAACACGCGGGGCATAATTTGGAGACCTCCCCGATTTCCAGGTTGTAGCTGAAGGCCCCTGTGTAGCTGTTAGACCAGGTGGGCTAGGCAGAAATATACAGAGTTCTTTTCTTATGGCTGCCCTATGGTGTTCTAGGGGGTTTGGGGGACTCCTTTCTGGGGCCACTGTAGCAGCAGAAGGGTCTTTACTGACTGTGAGGCCACACACCTGCTCAGGAAATCCCCTCACAGTAAGTCTTTCACAAACAGGAAGTACTCCTGAGACCCCCCAAAGTGAATATCTTTCAGGTTCCCCAGGACCCATGGTATGGGAGTTACAGTGTGGAGGGGCGCGGCGAGGGTTTTACACAACCACATCACTGGAGAATACAGGCTGCGTGCCACCTTCCTCCTCAGAAGGCAGGGCCCAGGCCCTGTCCTCTTGGGTTCCCTCAGCAGCCATATGGGATATAGTCCAGGGCCCTCCAGGTCTGTGCACTTTAACAGCCTTCAATTAAAGGCCATTTTGGCTGATCTGCTACCCACCCTTCTCAAGAGCATTAAAAACTGAGATGACAGTAGACTGAGAGAGGGTGGTATCTGGTGACTCACCTCTGGGACAGTTCAGGTAGCCCCAGCTCAGCTTGGACATGGAAAATGTACACTGTTCATGTAGAAGGAGATGTGGTACACCCTTCTCAAGGCTCTGAGGCTTCTAGGTGCAGAGAGCACCCCTGAGTCTCTGGTGACTCAGGAAAATACAATCAGTTCCAGGACAGAGAAGAAACAGGGAAGCACGGTACACCAGTGGGAAGCACACAGAAGCAGAGCTGGTACTGTGACCATCCCGGGAAGAGGCCACCTGAAGAAGGGACAGCAGATGTGGCCCTTAGGCAGGCAATGGGGCTATCAGCTATCCCCTTGGGAAGCTCATGTGGCAGGCCATTTTAGCTGCCAAGCCTCCTATAAGCCTCCTTGACAACTGCAATGCCACTCAGAACTCTCTGGAATAGTTTCACAGCCTGATTTGAGGGCGTGGCCTCAGTCTCTGGTGTTGGCAGCCCCAGGAACTGGAGAAAGCATAATTCAACAGAAAGGGCAGAAACAAAGGACTGTGGTAAGGTGCTCACAGAAAAGAAGGCAAGCACAGTGATGAGAGGAAGTGATGCTGGGGCTGTAGACTGAGAACAGCAATCTCAGTCCTTGGACACACCCTGTCACCTGGGCCACATTCTTTCTCTATGTGGTGTGGAAGTCCTCCCCACAGTGGCTCTCAGGCTGTGAGATTCCACACGTTGCTCACATGAGAAATCAAACCTCATGGTGGCAGAGCTGGGATCCTTTGTCTGCTCCTGGGAGATGTGGAGGCCATGAGCAGATAAGTCAGGAAGAGAGCTTATGAGACAGGATAGAGAAGCAGCAAACCAACTGAGATTCCTGCCTGTGGGAGCTCAGGTGCCACGAAGGTAGGTGAGTTAGACAAAGCCACAGGTAGGAACTGTACTGAGTATGTCAGCCCTGCAATGGGAGATCTCTGCTGGCCCTTTCTGAACGTGCTTGGGCATCTACCCTGGTAGAGCATAAAGCTAAGCGGTGTACAGCCTCGTTAATCCTAGAAATACAGGGTCAGGCCTTCGGACGTTACAACATCCAAGCCATTGCCGCACTGGCCCTCCAGCGAAGCCACAATCCTGTAGCAGGCCTCTAGCCTGTGACCTCCCCACTGTCTCTTGTCCCCACTGACTTCGTCCTGCCCTTTTGGTCACTACTTGGGTCCCTGGAGAATGAGTTCCTGGGAGAAAGTCACAGCCACATCATGCATGTTCATCCCATGTTCTTAAAGACCTTCCTAGGAAGACTAAACTCAAGGGCAGCACCAAAGCCCCTTTTCCAGCAGCATGTTGCTTAGTAACGGCACCCATGGCTGGGAAGGCTGGGAAGCATTCAAAACATGGCTGTGAAGACTTCCCAGTAGCCAAGTCTAAGGCTGTGTCCCAGAGGAGTGTGGTCACACTCAAGTCTGATTGAGGGATCAGACTTGGAAGGAATGTCACTGAGGAGGTCTTCAGGAGCCCATAGAGCCTGGCTCCCAGCAGGGTTGGAACACTTGTCACCAAGCACGGCCCTTCTGCAGGTCCTTTCACTGACGTTTGAAGCAGCAGTGCTGGGAGCTGCAGGAGCTAGGTCGGCCCAGCATGCTCGCTGTCCCTCTCCTCTGCAGGACATAGGGCAAGCTCCTGCCAGGCCCCCAGAGCACAACCTGATACATACACAGCCATGGCCCTACCCAGCCAGATCAAGCACTGGGATCCCCTTTGCCCAGCAGCTGCCTCTTTCTGCCTTTCCCCCTCTGTAATGTGAGGAACTACAGGGTGCAGAAGGACAGGCTCTGGGATCCAGAACGCTAGCTGTGGAAATAGTAGTCGGTGCTCCAAGCAAACACAAGTTGCCACGAATGTGCAAGGGGAGTGATAGGAGCCCGCTCAAGTTCATGCACATGCCCTGTAGTTCTTTTTTTTTCAGGGGGGGGGGATTAGAGATGGAGTGAGACAGTGAGGTCCAGGGCTGGGGAGTGAGGGTACAGGGGTGCCAAAGAGCGCAGGGATTCCAGTAGGATGAGAAAGTTCTGGAACTCAGTAGAGGTGCTGCTAGCACAGCACCAGGAGAGCATTGCACAACACCAACAGTGCTCTGTGCTGGAGATGGAGAAAGCTGCGGGTCTGTGCCATGTTCACCGCCACAGCTGAGGTGGCTACTTTCAGCTCTCTTTCCGCAGTGTGGATCAGCCTGTACTACGTAGCTTTCTACGTGGTCATGACTGGCCTCTTCGCCCTGTGCATCTTCGTGCTGATGCAGACCATCGACCCCTACACCCCAGACTACCAGGACCAGCTAAAGTCCCCGGGTGAGCATCAGGAAGGCATCAGCAATGCTCTTGGGGAAACATACAGGAAGGCAGACCCATCCCCCACACACACCCAGGGCAGGGTCCCCACAGCTTCCTGAGAGGGACAATGACCCTAAATCGCAACATCCGACTTTGGCTTTGGTTTTGAGCAACAGGAGGGGTTTGCGGGGAGGGCCACAGAGACAAGAAGGCTGTGCACTCACATTATATGCTTGTGCATACACACGGAGCATCTGGGACGATGCACAAGGGACTGCTACCAGGAAGCAGGCCTGTATGCCCACTGTGCTACATTCTGCAGAGGGCAGGGGCCCCAGACCCAAGTCCTCAGAGGCCTTCGGCCCTTCTTAATGTTCCTGCCAAACTTCCTTGACTAGAGGGAGCCTGTCTTGCAGCTCCCAGCTAGAAGGGTGGATCCACCTCAGGTCAGTTACCTATGGTTGGTGCTCTCAGGGCCGAGAGCACTTGGAGAAACTGACCAAGGAGGCACCCTTTCCTCGCAGGGGTAACCTTGAGACCTGATGTGTACGGGGAAAGAGGGCTGCAGATTTCCTACAACGTCTCTGAGAACGGCTCCTGGGCTGGCCTCACACACACCCTCCACAGCTTCTTAGCGGGTGAGTGAGCACCAACTCAGCAGTGCGCCTGTCTCCTGAGAGATTCACTGGAGACTCAGCGCCTCCTGCACGGCCCGTGGGGGGCTGTCCGCTGAGGGGCTGTGTGTTCTGCAGGCTACACTCCGGCCTCCCAGCAGGACAGCATCAACTGCACGTCGGAAAGGTACTTCTTCCAGGAGAGCTTTGCGGCTCCAAACCACACCAAGTTCTCCTGCAAGTTCACTGCAGACATGCTGCAGAACTGCTCAGGCCTGGTGGACCCCAGCTTCGGCTTCCAGGAGGGAAAGCCCTGCTTCATTATTAAAATGAACAGGGTGAGTATGGAGGGCCCCGCTTCCTCACAGCCCCCATGGCTGAGTCCTTTATCTACACACACTCCCCGCCCCTCCCCACCCCTGCACATTCGTCATGTTCAGCTCTCAAATAAGAATCTAATCAGACGGTGCTTTGCCAGACCGATAGCTATAAATATTGCATAAATAAGACACAGAGCTAAAGAAGAAGAGATCTTAGCCAGCAGGGGCCTTGAGTTTTGGATTCAGACTGGGAGAACAGAAGACTTTCAGGGTCAGTCCTATAGGGACTAATTGGCAGCCGAAAGCCCAATTGGCCTCACTGCCTATTTCCATTTCACAGGGCCTTAGAGAGCCTCACAGTCATCCACTGAACCCACCACGAAGCCCTGCATCTGGGAAGTGTCCCCAGAGCTACCTGGCAAGTGGGTTGTGATCAGGGCTCCAAGGGGCCACATGGCAGCTGCTACTCCCGACAAGGGCAGGTCCTGCACACAGCCCAGGGGACCGTGACTGAGGCTCAAAGTCTAGGGAGGGAATGTGGGATGTGGGGACCCCCACTGAGAGCAGTAGGTAGACCCATTCTGCAGCCAGGTTGGACAGAGGCTGCTACCCATCACCAAGGTGGGCCTGAGTGCGGTGCCAGTGGCCAGGGCCCTCTGTCTCAGTGCTGCCCTCCTGTGGTACCACGGGGTAACGGCTCAGAAGCATGTGTGAGTGCCCACCTGCACGCCCCTGGGCACATCGCAACCTTTCTTCTAGATTGTCAAGTTCCTCCCCAGTAACAACACAGCCCCCCGAGTGGACTGCACCTTCCAGGTAAGCACAGCTGGAGCGGGGCAGGAAGTGGGGGGGGGGACCCAAGTTATCCCTGGGCACGTGCCAACTGTCACCTCATCAGCCTTTGCCAGGAGTGACAACACAGGAACCATGCTGTAGCTATGGCTCCCCCGCATCAGGTCTGTGCAGTTACTCGTGTTTCACAGAGCCTGGCGTCGATGTGGGTGACCCAGCATTCTACTTCCAAACTGCTATTATATTTTAATTACAAAACTATCCCAGGTCACCAACAGCATAGTCGTTTAATGGGGTTTAGTATGTCAGCTGAGGTGGCGACCTCCTGATGAAATGGCTAACTGCAACATCAAATATATCAAAAGCTAAATGTGCCTTCACTAAACGTTTTCCAAGCCTTGTTTTCCATGCCGAGCCCTACCTAATCAACACATCAGGGGGGCATGTCCATGAGTGATCCAAGGAACATCTGTCCCCTCAGACCTCTGTCCCTAGGGCTTCAGGCATGTTTTTCACTTTTTTGTTGGTTTGGTTTGGTTTGGTTTTCTGAGACAGGGTTTCTCTGTGTAGTCCTGGCTGTCCTGGAATTCACTATGTAGACCTGGAACTCCCAGAGATTCTCCTGCCTCTGCCTCCCCAATTGCTGGGATTAAAGGTGTTCGCCACTGCTGCCCAGCTTCTTCCCTTTTTAAATTGCTTTGCCACACACAGCAGACCTGAGAGGTTACTGTTCATTGATCATAAGCTACCCATTGGGCAGGTCTGACTCCGACAATGAAAGGAAATAGATTAAGCTTGTTTGCACTTAATCCAGAAAACTGCACAGACTCTGAATGTGGCTTTGGACATGTCAGCTTGCATGTCACATGCTAACGAGCTAACACCAGCTTTCCCAGTTCCATCGCTCAACCAAGACTGTAAAATGGGCTAAGTCGGGTGGAAAGTGGCTGAGGTTAGACAGTTTGAGAAACCGTGTCCTTGCCAGGCTATCAGCCCTGGCTATGAAAGCTGACTAGATGCAAAGCTGATTATATTGCACTAATGTGCAAAGAAGTTTTGATGTGACCACTGGCATCGCTACCAGCGTGTGCCACACATTACACACACAGCTGACATGAGCTTGTACACAAATGAACATGTGCCCTAGTGCCTATTCGACTCAGCTGTGGCCTCTCTTCCCAGGATGATCCCCAAAAGCCCCGGAAGGACACTGAGCCCCTGCAGGTGGAGTACTATCCTCCCAATGGCACCTTCAGTCTCCACTACTTCCCCTACTATGGCAAGAAAGCACAGGTGGGTCGCTCCACTCTGCCCCAGCACACAAGACAAAGGCAGAGCAAAGCGGTTCACACCCGTAATGCCAGCACTTGGGAGGTGGAGGCAGGGGAATCAGGAGCTCAAGGTCGTTTTGGCTACATATCAAACACAAAGCCAGTCTGGGCTGTGTGAGAGTCTATCTTGGAAAAATAAACAAGAAACAAAGAAAGAAAATGAATGGAAGAAAGAAGTGCCTCAGCCAGTCCTGAACACTTCTTTCATCCACCTAGAAATGCAGAAATTCCCCGAGAAAAACATGGATGTCAACCTGAGTCCCTTCGGCTGAGGGTCCCCACTCCTCCCAGCGTCTGTGAATCCCCCCGAAGCATTTCCTCTGCGCTGCTTGCGCCTCTCCCCGTTCTACCTTCATATCCTGTTTGCCATCTGTAGTCCATAGATGCTCCTAGCTGCTGTGGGCAGAAGCCCGCCTCTCTATGATCTGAGGGCTCTTTTAGGCCTAACAGGCCTGACCCCAAGACAGAACACAGGGAAGTCCTTCATCCTCCCCCTTCTTCAGTTAGTTTTGTTTTTCTTAACAATGGGGTTTTTCCAAGCATCTCATCCCCCTGTGCTTCCACTCAGCCCCATTACAGCAACCCGCTGGTGGCAGCAAAACTTCTCAACGTCCCCAAGAACACAGAAGTCCTCATCGTGTGCAAGATCCTGGCCGACCATGTGACCTTCGACAATCCCCACGACCCGTATGAAGGGAAAGTGACCTTCAAACTTACAATACAGAAGTAAGAACTGGGGTGCTCGCCCACACCTACAGCTGCCCAACAGGCTGCTCCCTCCTGACTGTACATCCTCTGCTGGCCAGCGTGCACAACTGCTTCAAACATGGTTCGGAGCGGATGCCACCGCCCATCTGTTGACACCAGGGAGTGCTCCCGTCCAGCACTCCTGAGCACCACCAGCTCTCCACTAAATCCGTATGTATTTGCAATCCAACTGCAGCTGCGAGGTTCACACAGGAAACCAGAGTCCCGCTATCCACTAAGGAGACACCCCAGACTGACCCATCTGTCGGCATTACTGTCCTGTGCTTCAGTATGAACTATGGGTCCATATCAGTGTAACGCTGGCCACCCCAGCATGACACACCCCAGTTTGTGCTTCTGAGGCCACAACCCCTATGCCATGAAAACAAACAATATTAAAGTTATTCTTTTTCTGTGTGGAAAAGCCATGTCTTTCGTAACCCAGGGGGAAATTTTTACTAAACCCAAACACGCTTTTCTTTAAAAATCTTTCTATGGTTTCAAACACAATACGAGTGGTTTTGGCACTCAGACACTGAGGTCCAGCATCTCAGAGATGGAGTAAGGTGCGGGGATGCTCAGTACCCCCCCTCCACACACACACAGCCTGCTGCTTTGCCCACCGACCTACCCTGTGGCCACCTCCTGTCTCTCAGCCTCCACTGTCTCAGGTCCTTTCCTTAAAGGTATTCACACTTCACGCTGCCTCCTTCCCATGCAGCCAAAGAGCAAACAAGCCTGAATTTGTCCTTTCCCAGCTGAGACAGAACAGGAGGCGCATGCGTACACACAGTGTGACTAGGTACGGGGCTTCCTGGGCCGTAACGTTTCTATACAAACCACTCTGTGTGCCCTTGTCATGTTCCATACCCTGTACAATATTTTAAAGTAATGCAAGAGTTGGGGGAAATGGGTCATTTTCATTCCCACTAGCAAACCACCTGTTTTCAGAAACATCCGCTGATTTGACCAAGCCAAGTAAAACATCTAGCCCTCTGTCTTACTTAGGGTTGTTAATTGCTGTGATGAAACACTGTGTCCAAATTGGGTAGGAAAGGGTTTATTTACAGTTCTATATCTCTGTTAGTCACTGGAGGATGTCAGGACAGGAACTCAAACAGGGCAGGAACCTGGAGGCAGGAGCTGATGCAGAGGTCATGGAGAGGTGCTGATTACTAGCTTGCTCCTCATTGCTTCCCCAACCTGGCATCTTAATGAATTCAAGGATGATTCCCCCATAATAAACTGGGCCCTCCCACATCAATCACGAATTAAGAAAATGCCCTACAGGCGTGCCTACAGCTCAGTTTTATGGAGGCATTATCTCAAGTGAGGTTTCCTCCTCTCAGATGACTCTGGTTTCTATCAAGTTGATATAAAACCAGCCAACACAAATGACCCCTTGTCAACTTGACACAAACACATTGTTGTTAAGTCACAACCTTTCCTTTCTCATTCATCCCACATTAAAGAAAATAATTCAAAAAGTATCTTTACAAATTCCAACACATTAAAAGTCCAGTACCTTTAAATTATCCAGTCTCTTTAAAAACCTAAAATCTCTTTTAAAAGTTCAAAATCACTTATCTATGGGCACTTGTAAAAATCAAAATTAAGTTAAATACTTTCATACTTCAAGAGGAAAGAGGAAAGAACAATCAGATCAAAGCAAAACCAAACTCCAACAGTGTAAATGATATAATGTCTAACATCTGGGACTCACTCACAATCTTCTGGGCTCCTCCAAAGAGCTTGGATCACTTCTCCAGCTCTGCCAACTGCAGCACACACAGCTCCGCTTCTAGGTTCTGACTGGCTCCACTCCACCACCCCTGCTGTTCTTGGTGGCCCTCCCAGGGTAATGGCATCTCCAAAATGCAGGGGTCCTCTGCTACAACAGGGCTTTCACCAATTGCTTCTCCTAGGTTTGCTTCCTAGCCTCAACATCTCTCTCTGACCCCTTCAGTTCTGAGGCCTCACCTACTACAGGGACCACACCTTCCCCAATGGCCAATCCTAGTTTCCCACAGTGCCAAGGCTCAGCTGCTTTTCATAACCCCTTCATCCTGTCAAAACCAGTACCACCTGGGTGATTCTTACACTACCAAGTTCAGCTGCCAAGGGGAGGCAATGATGGCCATCTTTAGAACACAGCTTCTATGTGGACTCTGAGGAAACGCTTTCCAGATTTCACCTCAAAGATGCTCCAGCTGACCAGCATCTATTATCCCAGTAAAGTATGGGTTTTTCTTGTTAATCACAGCTGATTCTTCAGCTCAGCTGACTAGAACCACAGATTCTTAACCCAAAAGTCTCTGGAGGGTCTTTGCTTCCCTCCAAAGCTTCATAAGCCAGGTCTCTATCATCTGCACTGCTCTCAACACCCCTATCTTCTATAGAAGAGGTCACTGAGCTCTCAACATTCAATGGCTTTTTAGCCCAAAGTTCCAAAGTCCTTTCATAATCCTCCCAAAACAACATGGTCAGGTTTGTCTCAGTCATACCCCACTCCTGATACCAACTTGTCTTAAGAGTCACTATCGCTGTGATGAAACACCATGACCAAAGTAACTCGTGGAGAAAAGGGCTTATTTGGCTTACACTTCCATATTGTAGTCCATCACGGAAGGAAGTCAGGACAGGAACTCAAACAGGGCACGAACCTGGAGGCAGGAGCTAATGCAGAGGCTATGGAGGAGTGCTGTTTACGGAATTGTTTCTCATGGCTTTCTTAACCTACTTTCTTATGGAACCCAGGACCACATGTGGGCAGAGCCCTCCCCCATCAGTCACTAACTAAGAAAATGCCCTACAGGCTTGCCTACAGCCTGATCTTATAGAGACATTTTCTCAATTGGGGCTCCCTCCTCTCCGAGGACTCTAGCTTGTGTCAAGTTGACAAAAACTATCTGGTACACCCTCTTTCATGCCTGGTGGTATTTCCTGCTGACCTAACACAAAAATTGCATCTTGAGGTTTTTAGGGCAGCCAGGGACATCTGCTTGTTCACACAACTGGACATCCAATGTCCCCATCTACCTACAGTGGCTCAGCTTCCCACACAGACACTGTGCCCTCCCAGCACCTTTTGTCTCTGTGAATCCAACTTTGGGTGCCTCGTATGAATGGAACCACACTGTTTTTTCCAACTGGCTGAGGTTGAGACTCAGGTTTCCTTGTGCGTCAGGATCCCCGTTTCAGCTGGGCGGGGCCAAAGTTTTACTATGTATGTACCCCACGTCTCATCCTCGGACATTCCAGCTGTTTTACTTTTTTTGTTATTGGTGACCAATGGTGCTGTGACCACGAGTGGAAACTGTCTTTGAGATCTGCTTCCAAGGCTTTGCACATGTACCAAATTGTTGTTCTTAACTCTTTGAGGGGCAGCCCTCCCATTTTCCACTGAGGGGACTTCATTTCCTCCCATTCACCAGCAGAAATTCAGTTTCTCACATCCTAACAAGTATGTGTGTGTTGTTCAGCTTTCTGTTGCCGTAGCAAATGTCTGGGATAAACCATTTGGTAAAGAACACAGGTTCACTTTGGCTCACAGTTGTGGACTTCCAGTTGAGCTGGTTGACCTGTGGCCTGGTAAGTATCTGGTAGGGCCACCTTACCATGGCTGGGCATGATGAACAAATTCAGCTCACATCATGGTCAGGAAGGAGAAAAAAAAATCAGATCTAGTATCCTTCTTGAGGGTAGGTTCCCCAAATGGCTTGAAGACTTTCCAGGAGGCCTCACCTCTTAAAACTCCACAACTTCCCAAAGCGCCAAACTAAGAACCAGCTGTCTAGGCCTTGGGCTGGAAACAGGGCTCCTGTGGTAGCATCTCCCTAGCTTACAGCCAGGCCTGGGTTAGAACCCAGCATGTATAAACTAGGTGTGGTGACACACACTTGGAATCTTGTACACTTGGGAGTCGAAGGTAGAAAGAGCACAAGTTCAAGGCTAACTTGGGATACAGAGACCCTATCTTAAAACAACTAAAACAAAAACAAACAAGCAAGCAAACAAAAAGAGCCAAAACACAACCACAACACACAGACATAAGCTTTTAGGCAGCATTACAGATTCAAGCCATGGCGACTTGACATTTTCTGTATTTTCTGCTTTCACAAGTCTTCATCCTAGCAGTGATGTGCCGTCTCTTTGTGGTTCTAATTTCCATTTCTTCAATTCTTATTGCTCCTGCTCTCAAACCACTGCCAATTAGTCACAGCCTTGCCCTCCTTTCACCATGCTCTTTGCTTTCTGTTGTTCAGTTTTAAGGGTTCTCTTCATTCTACATGTTAATTCTCTGTCAAGGTGTTATGACTAATCTCATTGTCAACTTGACTAAACTTAGGACCACGATAGATTAGACTTTTGGGTCTCTAGAAAGATGTTTCCAGAAAGGTTTAGCTGAGCAGAGAAGAGTCACCCCAGAAGTGAGTGATTCCACCCCTCGGACTGGCTCCACCTCAAACAAGAGGAAGCAAGATGGGCACTAGCCTTGCCTCTGCTTTCTGATCACAGATGACCAATGGCCAGCCATCTCATGCTCCTGCCGGCACGCCTTCCCACCACAATGAGCTGTCCTCTCACGAGCTGTGAGCAAAACTTCTTTCAGGTAATCTTTGTCAGGCATTTTATCACAGAGACGAGAAAGGTAACTAATACACGTGGGTTAGCATTTTTCTGTTGATAGTGTCTTTCAATGCACAACTTACATTTTTTCCTGAGGTTTACAGTGTTGTTTTTCACTTGATGTCATAAAGAAATTATTGCTAAATCCAACACCATAAGGTTTTGCCTGTTTTGTTTCAAACTTTTAGGCCTTATATTTAGGTCGTAGATCCATCTAGCTTATTTCCTTATTTTATTTTTAGCTTTATGTGTGCTTTGCCTGCATGTGTGCCTGTGAACCACGTGAAAGTTAGAAGGCATAAGATCCCCTGGGACTGTAGTTACAGACAGTTTTGAGTTACCATGTGGGTGCTGGGAGGCAAATCCGGGTCCTCTGCAAGAGCAGCCACTGCTTTTAACTGCTGAACCACCTCTCTAGTCCCGTTTTTCTTTTTATATGACATTCCATCAATCCAACTTCGTTCACTTGCATGAGGTTTTCCCAAAAGCATTTGTTGAAAAGTCTATGCCACTGGACAGTCTTGGCATCATTGTCTAGAAACACTTGATCGAATGTGTGGTTTGCCCCTGATTTGCTAGTCCAGTATTGGCTTCCTGCCCATACCAGGGTTTGATCACTGTCGTCTTGCAGTGGCTTGGAAATTAGGAAGTCTGAGGACTGATCACTTTCAAGATTGTTTTGGAAATTCAGAGTGACTTGAATTTGGGATGAGTCTACTTATTCTGCAAAATCATTGTTAGGGTTTGGGTAAAAATCCCTCTGGGGAGTACTTATGTCCAAACGGTATTGTCTAGACCACATGAAATGTGATTATCTCCTTGCTGTCTTTAAAAAAAAAAAAAAGTTCCCTCAGCAATGTTTTGTAAATTTCACTTTCATCTCCTTGGCTAAATTAGTTATGAAGAACTTTATTCTTTAATAATGTAACTTTGTCTATTGTTGGAATGTGAAATGTCCTCCTCAGGTTATGTACTGTTTGATCTGCTAAGACTATTCGGGAGAGTGATAAGGTTTGGGAGGCAAAGTCTAGCTGAGGAAGCAGGTCAATGGGAGTGTACCTTCGAAGCGCATCCCTGGTCCCAATCCCACCTCCTTCCTGTCCTCCATGAAGTAAGCAGCCTCCTCCTCTGCACGCTGCGGCTGCCGCAATGCTCTCTACCTTACCACCCCAGGAGCAATGCAACGGAGGACTATGGTTGAAATCTCTGAAGCCCAAACAACCCTTGTTGTTCTCAGGTTCTGATGGTTCTTCTCATCATCTTGAAGGGATCTGGGAATCAACTACATGACAATTCTGGGCAGCTCTGTGAGCCTATTTCTAAGGAAGATGAACCGAATGGGGCAGACCAGAGTAGGCAGCACCTTCTGTGGCAGCAAAAAATGGTGCTGCATGGTTTGTGTTCTCCCTGCTGTGAGGGCACCTACGCTACTGTGTCACCCTTAACTGACTTCTTCAGCCTTTAAATGTGCATGGAAGACTAGTGGCTCCAGAAATCCCTCAGCACCAAAGGGGGACTGCTGAGGTGCCTAGCCTTGTGAACTAAGTAGCCCCCCCCGCCCCCCCGAGGACACAGGTAGAAACTAGTGGGAACTGACTACCCAGCCCACATGGCGTAAATTAGTCTAGTAAATCCTTTTGTAAGGATCTTCATCCTGTGGGCCCTGTTCCTCTCAAGAACCCGGATAGCTACACAAAAGTAATGCACTCGGCACCTAACGTCCTATTAGTCCTAAAAGTATCTTAGTTGATTCCTTTGGATTTCTAATACACAAGATTATATCGTCTACAAATGGAGATTTTAGTTCTTCCTTTCAAACGTGGATGCTTTTCATTTTTCATTCCCCAACTTAACTGGCCAGAATTACTAGTACTATGCTGAATAAGTATCAGTGGACCCTGTTCTCATCAGTACCTTACCCCAGGCATCACGGCCAGGGGCTGTTCATTTTTAACTTAGTGGGTTTTTCTTTTCTTCAGTTGCTGACTGTCGGAAAGGGAACTGAATTTTGCACTATGCTTTCTTGCTATCGGAGATGGTGCTGTAGGGTTAGGTTGTTGGTATCACCACATTGTGTGCACAGGAGCTCTTCCATTCTTTTCAATGCATCAGTCTCTTAAATTATGAAGGAAACAAAATGTGGAGTCAGCAAAGTTGCAATACTAGCAACCTTTTTGCTGTTCCTGTTTATAGAGGTCTGTATCCTTCACTCCTAATGTGTGGTCACCGCTCAGTACCGTTCACTTACCTGACTGATTCTCATGAGCACTGACTACAGCACAGGAACAGCGGGGAGGAATTCCCTCACCTTTCATTTGGGAATGGTTTCATTTCTTTCCTTCAAAAAACTTTTTAGGGGAGAGAGAGGCCAGGTTGAAGCAGGGGTCTTATTCGGTAGCCTAGTAAATGACTGAAAATCAACTATTAAAGTCCTTAAAGTTTATTACATATGTGCTCATGATGAGGGACAGGTGTTGCGGGGGCACACAACTCTGTGTTGTCAGTTCTCTCCATGGATTCCAGAGGCTGAACTTAGGTTGCCAAGCTTATACTGTAAGAGCATTACGGGTAAAGTGTCTTGCCTCCCTGACACAATACTGTTGTTAATTATTTGGGAATTTTGTAAAAACTCAGTCTTTCCCCACCCCCACCCGAAGCCAGCAACTTGAAGACCTATACTTCAGCATCTTTATCAGTTTTTAAGGACTCTCTTTAATAGCTCCCCCAGACAGAATTCCTGATGGATATAGCTTTCTAGTGTTCTGAATGTTTTGGCCAATTGTCACGTGGCCCCACAGGAGACAACTCTTGGATGTGACTGAGGAATGCATGCACGTCACAAGATTTCCGTCTTGCTGTTTTCAACATACCTTTTAGAAGCCAAATGAAGATGTGTCCTGTGAGTATGTATCCTCATCTACTTAGAATTCATTTCTTGGATGCATAGTCAGGTGGGCTTTCACCAAGCTTGGTGAGTCTTTTGCTGTCTTCACATCTTCTCCGCCCTTTCTCCTCTCCAAATGTACATGTCAGTGCTGTCTTAGAACTTTCACATCTGTTCTTGTTCTGCTCCTCAGATTCAGGAATCGCTTTGTTATGTTTGCTAGTGCTTTCTGATACCACCTAATAAAATCTCAGTCCATTTCTGCCCTGGATTTCCCTGGGATTTAAGTGTTCTCTTTAGTGCTGCTCCCACTGTTCATGAGTCACTTTCCCAGCTCTCATCTTCCCTCAGTTGTGCATCTCTAGGATGACTGTTTACAATGTTGTGAGGGAAGTATGTCATCATTCTCAGGGAGTGTCTGCTGACTTTCATCTTCCTGTATGTGAACATACTTTGTTTGCTTCATGTACTATTTCTATTGAAGACAGGACATTTAAATCTGCTCCCAGTGACCAGAAAGAGAATTCTAATTCCCATGGTTGGTTGCTCTGTTTGTGTTCTGATAGTTGGACCTGCACTGGGGGTTTATCAGCCTGAAATGCCACCTGAAGGCCTTTTCCCTGTTCTGTGCCTTTCCCTAGGCAGGACAGCCGAATGGAAAACTTTTTAATGTCAGTCTTTGCTGTCTGGATTCCCAGAGTGGAAGGGTGAGAAAGAAGGTGGCAACCTTTAAATCCCTGGAAACCTAGTCAGCCGAGGGGAAGAGCCTGAAGGATGCTGCAGCTCCAGGGCCAGGTACCTCTCGTCTGTACCTACTTCAAACAGTCCCTGAGTAGTTGTCAAGGCATGAAGACACTACTAGTATACCTACTCCTCACCTTTCCAGAATGCTTAGTCTTCTGTTTTTTTTTTTTTTTTTTTCTGAAAGTCAAACCTACAAGTGTACCTCAACTTTCAGGATAGAGGGAAAAGTCAAAGGGCCAACTTGTTTTGGGGCACACATGAAAGGCACTCCTGACTCCACTCTCACTTCCTGCCTATCATGCCTGACAGAGGGAGTGTGAGACATGTGAGAACACTGCTCCTGGGCTGGCATCCCAACTCTCTACTTACGGCAATCCACAGTAATTCTGAAGGACACTCCCGAGTTACAGAAACACAGAGCTTGTTTAAAATGCCCATGCGCGTTTTATTAATAAAAACTAACAGTGCCAAGTTAAACAAGTCAAACAATTTAAGTCTCTTTATATTCCATAAAATATTACAGAAAAGTTTATTTGTGTTTCAATAAAAAGACCATCATTTTAGAACAGGCAGCTAAGGGCAACTGTGCAGTTAATGAGTTCTTGTGAATAAATTTTAAGAGACTATTGCCTGTCCTTAAATTCCTTTTTCTTTTTATAAAAAAAGAACTATTAAAAATGATTGACAAATTTTGAGTTAAAAAACTGTTAAAACATTCTCTATGTTTAATTTCAACTTTATAATAGATTACAGGAAGATGCTTATGAAACAAATACAACATTTGTTTCAGTACACGTCTTTAAATGATAGACTTATAAGTATGTAAACAACTATATAATAAAAAGTTTCCAAACGTAGCCTGTAAGAAATCAGGCAAATTTACCATAAGCAAACTTTCTAGATAATTTCCATAGCTGCACCAGCGTGGCAGTAAACTTCTTCCAAACAAAAACAAAGGCAAACAAACAAGAAAACTGCTTTGCAATTTGTTGCTGCAATAGAGAAAGTGTACAAGTTTGATGGAATTATGACAGTCAATATAATTTAAGGAAAAATAAAGTCATAATAAGATGTATGGCGCTTAACATTTAAAAAGTAGAGCTTTGCTACTGGCTTGGTTCTTTGGACACTGCATGATTAACAAATGAAAAAATTCATCCTAAAGCCAGGCTATCCACCAACTAAGTGCTGGACACCCAAGGCAAGTTAGCTTTTTATTATTGTCACTGATATGGGTGCAGTGCAGTTTCCTCAACAAACCCAGCAACAACTGTTGAGGGGCAAAATCAACTTCAAACTTAAAAGAAAAAAAAAGAGAGAGAGAGAAAGAGAAAGCATGAGAAAGAGAGACAGAAAACACATCCTAAAAAGTAAATACAGGCTCTGCATCAGCACGCTGGCTTCAAAACACATCCGTAGCGCGGCTCAAACCGCGGGCACAATCCTTTCCTGGAGCTGCACATCTAACTCCAAAACTCATGGGTGTCTTCTTGGAGTAGGCCAAAAAGAGCAGAAAGCCCCACTTTAAAGTTTCTCTTTAGGCATTTTTCCTGAAGCTGAACGTGAGGGGAGAGGGTCTACAGTTGATCAGTCCTCCTCGTCATTCTCATTAAAGTCATCATCATCGTCATCATCCTCCCCAACACAGGAAACAGGGGTCTCTACCCTGGAGCCACTGTACTGAGACCCATTGGAGCTTGTGGCCAGCATCCCGTCCGCACCATTGCTCAAATCACTGCAAAGACAGGCCAGTCAGTGGGGCAGAGCTGCTCTGTCCAACCCAAGAAAGGCTGGACATGACCTAAGGAGTGGAGTTTTCATTTTACACAGTTGTTACCGCCTGCAATATTAGAACCCTAACCTGAGAGCTTCACTCTCCTTGGGCTATTCCCAGTCAATCCCTTTAAAACATGTAACTGCATAATGCCTGGTCACCAGGGCTCACATGAGAATCCTGAGATACGGACAATGGTAGTGGACCAGGAAAAAGAATGGATTGCAGCATCAAACACCAAAACAAGAAGCATTTCCTTTGTAAGGCATCAGGGTTCAATCCCTTCTCTCTCCTCCTTTCTTCTCTCCCTCCCTCCCTCCCTCCCTCCCTCCCTCCCTCCCCAAACACACACAGCCCATGGGGCCAGATCCCAGAATCACTAGGCAGCATCACCCAATATTTGGCCCAGCAGAGCTGATGGCACACTCCCACAGTTGAGGTGCTACTGGCAACTGAAAGTTGCTAGAGGAGGAAAGTCAGTTTTGCTCTGGTGTTTGGGGATATGGGCCCTAAGCTCCACTGTGCTCCAGCACATACCATGCACACTGGCAACACTAAACAGACTCAGTTGAGTATGAGTGAGAGAGCAGCCGGGAGGGAGGAAGGGAGAGAGCGCAAGTGACAGAGCAAGTGAAAGCGATGGCATGCACAAGGATATGAAGTCAGGAAAGAGGAGGGAGAGGGAGAATAAAGGAAAAAGTGAAAGGGAGCAAAGGAGGAGCAGATTTGACCAGAGCGCATTACATGAGCACATGAGTATTAAATAAAATATTTTTCAAAAAGAAAGGGGGAAAAACAGTAAGTTTTGACCCAGATATGGAGACTTGTAATTCTAGCACCGGGGAGACTGAAGTCACTGCCAAGCCTGTGTGTATAGTCAATTTGTCTTAAAAAACAACAACAAAAAAAAAAAAACAAAAGAAAGAGAGAGCGAGAGAGAGAGAGAAAGGAAAGAAAGAAAGAAAGAAAGAAAGAAAGAAAGAAAGAAAGGAAGGAAGGAAGGAAGGAAGGAAGGAAGGAAGGAAGGAAGGAAGGAAGGAAGGAAGGAAGGAAGAAAAGGAATGGAACAGCACTTGCTATGCTAATCTGATGACCCGAGTTTGATTCCAGGATCCCACAATGAAAGGACTGACACTGTTCCCCGACCTCTACCCACTCACAGACACGTAACAATAGATGTTAAAAACTGGAACCCAAAGTACCTGCCACACAAGCCTGGAGAACAAAGTTCGACCCTTGGAACCACGTAAAGGTGGGAACTACATACATACACCTCTGACTTCTACAGGTGCCCACATACATTACACAAACACACTCATAGTAACAACAAATAAATCTGTTTGTTTTCTAAGTGTTTAGAAGCAGAAAATAAAATTGTATATACACTATACCACTAGATACATTTTAAGAAAATGAGTAAGAATGCTGGATGTAGTAGCAGTTGGATCTCTGTGAGTTCGAGGCCAGCCTGGTCTACAAAGTGAAGCCCAAGACAGCCAAGGTTACACAGAGCAATCCTGTCTCAAAAAAAAAAAAAAAAAGAGCAAGAAGCTATTTAAAAACAAGAAAGCATAGGTAGGTCTGCTTCACAGGTGGATCTCTGAGTTTGAGGCCAGCCTGGTCTACAGAGCAAGTTCTAGGACAGCCTGGGACACACAGAGAAACCTTGTCTCAAAAAACCAAACAACAAAAACCAAACCAAACAAAAACCCACCTTTGTCTCTCTCCCTGCAAAAAACAGTGGGACATGAGTAGATTTTTTTCCCACCTTACTATGTAATACTTTTAAAGAAATAAAAATCATGAATTACTTAATTTGTCAAGTGGTGGGCTCACTTACAGGGTGGTAAGCACTGTGCCTGAGAGGACAGTTGCCTAGGCCAGGCCCAGCCCAGCTCATCTGAAACACAGTAGGCTGCCCCACCCCCAGCTGTTGTCACCTGGCAGAAAGCCTTGTGCCATTGGATGTAGAACCTGTTGTCGTGACAAATACTCCGCCAATGGATCCCTGAGCCATTTCTGAAAAAAGATAAGAGTAAATAGAAATAAGACCAAGATAAGATGCCAGGTGTGGTGGCACCTTCCATTAAGACCATCATTTTGGAGGCAAATCTCTGAGTTCCAGGCCAACCAGAGACAGTAAGACCCCGTCTCAAACAAAACAAAGAGAGAGACCCAACATGTGAGAAAGAAGCAAAAGTCTGCATAACCTGCCCCAGCTTTGGGGATATCTGTGGGCACACTGACTTGCTTGCTCTCTCCTACCCTCTGTGGTAGGAAACCAGGGATGGTTGGTTTCCAGGCAGGCAGAATAAGCCCAGTACACGTGTCCCTTCAGGAGAGGCTACCAGTGCTGTTGTGTGTGCCAACAGCCCCAGAGAGCAGAAACAGGGACCAATTGCATGAATGCACAGTATCCCACCATCCATCTGAGAGTCCCACAGAGCTCTTTAGGAGGAGGGCAAGAAAGCAGAGACCAGGCCAGGTGTCAAGCCTGCATCTGCTGCAGGAAGGCTGAAGTGTGGGTGGGGAGCTAATGTTCCCATGCCTTAAACAGCACAGGACAGATGCTCATGCTGTCTGGGACAGAGTTCTTGGGACACAAGTCCCTGACAGCCTCAGAAACAAGCATACACCATGCAATGACTGTTGAACAAGATCTTTCATAAGTCACCACAAGGCCACCACAATGGTATCATGATCTGATGACTCTGCAAAGTCATTCAACTACAAATTGGCAACCCTCCCCCATGCTACCCTGACCGATGGAACGCCAGTGGGCTCACAAGGCCGTTCCTGCTGATGGGTTATAAGGACTAACCAACAGCCTTAGGAATGCAGACCCATCAGCTCCATCCCCACTCAGGAGACAGATCCTCACTCCATAACACCATCACCATAAAAACCCAACAGTGACATTCATTCAGGCGGACCTCAGCAGATGCCTAGGCACTAGGGACACACCAGACCATTGCATAGCCAGCCACGGGTACAACTGACCTGTCACATATGGTTCTAGAGCTTTTGGTACCAGACTTCTTGCCACCTTGAGGTCTTCTGCAGAGCAGTTGCCAGATTCCAGCCCGCACGCCATGCCCATGCGCTTGAGCACCTCAATATCATCATGGATTTCAAATGTGTTGTCGAAGTTAAACAGATACTCAAATCTGTTGGGAAAAGGTAATGAGAATTATGTGGCTTCCAAGGGAAAAGGCAGTACTATGGGTGGAAACCAGGCAGCAGCCCCTCACCATCCCCTTCCTCACCCTCCAACCCAGATCCTGTAACTGAATTCCTCAGAACAGTTCCAACTAGAAAACCAGACACGCCACTGCATAATTTTGCAAACTGCTGTCTGGCTCTAGGCATAGCATTGGGCAAAGACCCAGTGCCACCCGCACATCACTGGGATGGACACGGTGCTGCCTGCACAGGGCACATGTTCTTGCTGCTGGCTAATAAGGGACCAGCAGAAACCACAAATGCTGTTTCTATGCAGCCACAAGACAGAATCCTGATAACAACGTATCTAGGTTCCTTCCCCTAAAAGGCTACACTTGGAGGGCCCACTGAGGACGAACTTGTCATTGGAGATGCTGCAGTCAATGACGGTCTTCCTGCTGGTGTTGACAATTATGAAGGGCAAGTGGATGACAGAGTTAGGAGGAGGTGGCCTGCGGGCTTGTTGCTCGGCCTGGCGGTTTCTCTGCACCAAGTTTTTGAAGGCAATTTGCTGAAAAAGACCAACAGGACCCCCGGAAGATGTCAATACCAGTAACAAGATACCTGTCCTTCCTGCAGATGGTGGGACGCTGGGTGGCGATTTACCTGTAGCTGTCCTGACAGGCTACAGAGGATAAGGAACATAGGGAGAACAGTCTCACAAACACAACCAGGTTGGTCCTACCTGCAGGGAGGAGTGACCTGCTACAGGACACTCAAGCCTCAGCTAAGCGTTCCTGTAGAGTATAAAGGAGTGACCTCTGCACAGATGAACCCAGAGTTAGTGGTCCAGTGCCTGAAGGGACCGCAGGCACACAAGACCCTCAGCTAAACCTGCCATCCCCATGTCTCCCTCCCCACAGTGGAGGTGCTGCCATGAAGACATGTCAGCTACAAAGGAGGCCCTAATCTCCAAATGGCAAACCAGGCTGCAGACAGCAAACACTCAACCAAAGCAAGTGAGGGCAGGAAAAGGGGAATGGGTTGGGTCACTACCTAGTCAGCTTCCTTTTCCCTCTGCAGCCAGGATCCCTGATTTTTCCCAATCTTCTTGGTACCCTGAACTGGCCTGGCCCTACCATGCCATCTTAGGCTGACCAGACAGGGAAGAGCACATGCCACCAATGACTGGGCCCTGACACTACTCCTCCATCAGTCACATCGCATTTTAGGAGGTTGACAAGGCCTTGTAAGGGGCTCGGATCATGCTGGGATCTCCAGCTCTGACCACGAGGTGCCATAGGTACCTGCGATCACCCCAGGCTACTGGCAAGCACTCGTCACTGAATCCCCAGGTCTCTACAAGAGAAGTCCAACTCCCAGGGCCACTCCACATGAACAGCCTCAGCCACCATGCTTTTCCCTGTCAGTAGCTGTTAAGACCAACATCCACAGAGTTCACGACATGCCCAGTGCAGACTTAAAATTCCCTTGGCAGTCACAGCAAGAAGTGCATATGCTCACACACACTTGTCACAGTCAGCCTACTTGGGGGAAGGGGTTGGGGGCTTTTCAGACAGGCCACCAGCCTGCTTGGGAGTAGGCTCAGATGGGCCGTACCTGCAGGATGAGTTCCTGGAGCTGGGACTGCTTCTGCTTGATCCTCTCCAGCCTCCGCTGCCTCTCTACCTGCAGACGGGGGTGGGGTGGGGGTGTTAGCACACAAGGATTGGAAAGTAAGTTCCCTGTCCCACAACCAAGACCCTGCAGACCTAGCCATACATAAAAACTGCCTGGCAACAGGGGCTAATAAATGCACATCCACTCAGCCACCTGGTACGGCCCTCTCAAGTGACCAAGGACAACGGACGCCCGCTTTAGACAGTGCACCTCCAGGTTCTGGCACTCCTGAGCAGAGTTGGTGGGCAGGCCGATCCACTTGATCTCCTTCTTCTCCTTGGAGATGATGTTCATGGCCATCAGCACGTTTAAGGCGTCGTACACACGCCGCCGGATGTTCTTCTGGTCGTAAGCTGATTCATTTGGTAGGATGTGGTTGTCCGCGGCACTGAACTCTGCCACCAGCTCATCAGCCACCTCGTTGTAGGAGGTGGTCCCCTTCCTCTGCACCTTCTCACACACCTTCATGGAGAAGTGCCGCAGGCCCTTGCCATTCTTCTCACCTTTCCTGTTCCGTTTCCTTTCAAATACCAGAAAAACAGAAACTGTCAGCAGTCATGGGAGGCAGATGTGACCAAGACACTTTCAGAGAAAAGGCCTAAGGCTGCAGAGTCCCCAGAGGCCCATTTTTTCCCCACAGCCCCACCACAGGCAGCAGGGACTCCGCCCTAATATATCAAGGACATTGGCAAGGATCAGTGTTTCTCAGGTCAGAAAAGAACATGTACGAGGCCAGTTCACACACCTGTGCCTTTAAATGTCAGGGAAGACGGACAGACATCCGAAGGGCAGAAATCAGCATGGGTCTGATCCGGACCACACACTAGGCACCACTGTTCTAAAGACGTCTGCTGGCATCAGATCACGGCATATTTTAGTGTAAATTTAGGGATTGTCAGGGCTAATTTCAGCAGGCTACCATGACATAAGGCAAATGCTTAGACCGATGGGCATGTGACAAGTGGAAAGTATGGTGTGAACCTCAGGTCAGGGAGCACGCCAACTGTGTCGCCCTCACTAAATCACACCAGGAACAGTTATTAAGTTCTTCTCAGAATTTTGGGCACAGACGATTTTAAATTGAAGCAACAGAAATGGTTCCACAACGGTGTGTTTTTAAGAAAAGACATACTGGTAACCTTTAAAGAAAATCACTTCAGCTACGATCTCAGTGGCAGTACAGCCCTGGAGGGACCATCCACAGGATGGAGTCCGGAAGTGGTTCACTGAAGAGGTCAAATTCTGACAGCAGGTAAAATCTGCACACTATGCTCAGCTTGAGCAGCGAAAGTTTCTAAGTGGCTATGTCATATTGGAGGCCAGTGTTCTCCTCTTTGTGGCTCAGGGCTCCAAATCCCCCCCCCCCCAAAGAGTCACTGACATGAGCTAGGCTTGCACTTGCTGTCTGACCCAGACAGGGGTAAGATGGGGCTTTGAACTCTGTGTGCTCAGGTACCCCCATTACAGACCATGTGACACATGGCAAAAGAAAAGAGGAGACATTCTCCACAGTTGCCACCCTCGGGTGGGGGTGCTCACCCAGCAGACCAAGGTGAGCAGTCAGACGGCTGGTTCTGGGACACAAAGTGAGTGTTAGGAGTGTGTGGGCTTCCTACCACAATAGTGTTTGATGCTGCAGGTCTCTGAGGCGTGCCAATCACCTATAGTCAAAAAAGAATTCAGAATGATCAGACATCTCTAGATGACGGTAGTGGCATTTGTGTCATCTGCTTACTTCTGCAGCCGCTGCAGCACCTCATAAGCCACAGTGAGAAGACAGCAGAGAAGCACACGCCGCGTGGAGCAACAGCAAAGCAGTGGCCGCTGTCACTGCAGCTGCTCTGCACACGGCACCAGGCCCCACTCAGCTCGGACGCCTTCATACCTAACAACAGCATCAGGAAGGCTCAGCCAGGTGAGCAAGCTTGAGAAGACAGAGCAGGCCACGGTGCTAGGGACGAGGCAGGTCTCCCATGGCAAGAAGACCGAGAAGTGCCTACAGCAAGCAGGCAACTGTCTGATAGCTTGGTTTAGTAACAGGATATCACCACATTTCTGGTTTATTTCCTCTTATGGAGACAGACAAAGATAAAACCGCCCTTCTAAAGTCTGAAAGTAAACAAAACAACTGCAAGAACAAGTGTAGACCTGGAGCAGGCAGCGGGTACCTCCTCTAGCTCCAAAGAGGCACCTGCTTCTGTCCAGGTGGAACTGGTGCTTGGCTGTCTTGCCTGGGAACTTCTCTACAGCCTCAGTGGTTGTGGGGTTGATAAGAAAGCAAGCTGAGCAAGCCAAGGGGAGCAAGCCAGTAAGCAGCATGGAGTCATGGCCTCTGTATAAGCTCCAGGTTCCAGCCTGCTTGTCTTTGGTGATGCACAGCAATGTAGAAGTGTAAGCCAAGTAAACCCTTTCCTCCCCAAATTGCTTTTTGGTCATGGTGTTTAATCACAGCAAAAAGAAACTCTGACTAAGACACCCAAGATACAAAGAACATCAAAACAATAAAGGGAAAGGTTGCCTTCTTGGGAGTCAAGATAACCAGTTCTAACACAGGGCTGATGTGGAGACCAGTCTTAACAGCAATGTCTCTGATATCCTTTTGTGAGAGAGCTGCTGTTTTGGTTCCCTCAGTTAACACCAAACCTGTCCTTTTGGAGACAGACATTGTTCTAAACAGACAACGACAAAAATCTTGCTACATACATAACTCTTAAGTCAAAAAGACCTCTAGTAAATTCCATATTATAACATGTCTCAGTGAACAAATTCTTATGGGGCTATCCTTACAGGGACTGAACCAAGATACCTGGCTCCCCAGTTCCCCTCCTTTGCCCAGTGAAGGTGTGTGCACCTGTGCTCGCTCTCTCAGGCGCACCCTCACAAAGGACAAGAGCAGTTCCAACAGGACCTTCACGCTCTGTCTCCAGAAGTGCTTGCCAGCATATCCACACAGCCCACCACAGCATGAGAGCTGTGCAGAAGGTTCTGGAACTCATGGGAGACCTCAGTCTATTCTGTAGCATGAAGAACCACCACCCTTGGGAAGATACAAAGCAAGACTCAAGAGTAGCCTGGAGTCACCTGCCTGCATCTGGCATCCGTGTGTGTGCAGAAGGGCACTTGTGGCTGGCTTACCCACTGACCACAAGGAAGCTGCCAAATGACTGGGTCTGAAGAAAACGAACTTACTCCCAGCTTCAACTCCTTCGCACAGCACTTCTTGAACTGCTGTGCCAAGGATGGGTGGCCCCTATAGGCAGCCTCACTTCCCACTAAGACCACTGTCCATCAGGACACACAGACACAAGCTTGCCCTCTGGGGACACCCTGTGCACATCCAGGTACAACGCAGGGAGCTGCAACCCTCAGGGACATGCCACCTTCCCTGTGGATCTGACAAGGAAGGCTGTACATACAGAGGAACTGTCTCCTCTGGCATGCCCACGTTACAGCCGACATACGTTTATGTTCCACTTTCATGTACAGGCTGCTTGGCAAATGCTCAGCCCTGCGTACCCCTGGCTCTCTGCACATGCTCCCCCTCCATGTGCACACGCTGCTGGGAACAGGCTCCGGTTCTCTGTGCACACGCTGCTGGGAACAGGACCGCAGAAACAACGCTCAGCTGCAGCCGTGGGAGGCCATGAGGCAAGAAAAGAGAATGGAAAGCAGACCAAGGGAATGTTAGCAAGTGAGGTAGGGCCAAGAGGAAAAGGCAGGAGAGCCAGATGCCCAGGAGACAGAGGAAAACTGGGTCACAAAGCAGCAACTCCTTGCTGGTGTGGCCAGATAGAAAGACAAAGCAGACAAAGCCCTTGAGAGCACAAGCGTGGGGGCAGGATGCGGGCCCCATTCCATCTGCACCCTGACACTAGGAACAAGGAGCGGACTACCTTTAGTACGCTCATGTTCTACCATCTACATACATGTATATGCAGCATGGAGGGAGCTTTACAAGCTCCAAGGTCACTGGCCCTTCAGCTACTGTTCTGCAAAGGAGTCCTCTCTGGTTGTTACCCCTCCAGGTCACAAGCAGTCTCTTCTATGGTTACCATTACTGGGACGGAGACTGACTTAAACCCAGGCTTCTGGACCCAAGCTCCAGCAGGCCACATGCCTCTGCTGATGAGAGATGCTGAGGACTCAGTACCACACAACTGGGAAAGGCAAGTAAAAAACGGGCACTGGATCTCAGAGGACTGGGACCCACCGCACCCACAGCGCTCCCTAGCTTTCAAGCAAACACTCTGCCTTGCTAAGGATAGAACACAAGGCCTCCCACATGCTAGGCAAGCATTCTACCACCAAGCAACACACAATACCAAGACCAACAGGTCTCCCAAGACACCCTAAGGACTCATTTTGCACCTTAATTTCAAATATGATAAAAGCTGTTCAATCCTGTGCACTGCATGACTGTAGTGTACATACAAAACAAAAATTTAAAAGACAAAAAGCAAACTACAAATTTAGAAAGGTTCATGAAAGAGAAAACACTAAAAGAAATGTTAGGTAGGATTTACCACACACTGCAAACCAGCAAGCCAGACACCTCTGCTTATCTCTGTGTCAAACCTTCCAACAGCACACCTAGCCCCTCCTAATATCCTGGTCCCAGAGCTTCTAGCCCCTGGTGAACAAGCACCAGAGAGACAGCACCTGCCCTGGTCACACTTCACATGCACATCTCCTATGTTAGAGTCAACCCCAACATCTCCCTAAACTTGACAAGGGTCACTCGGGATGTGCCAGGCTGAGGATACAGCTTAGCAATAAGCTCCTTGACTAAAACGCAGGAGGTCCTATGCTCAATCCCAGCACCACCAAAAACAAACCAAAGGAATCAAAATAAATTCTTGCAGCATGTAAGCCCTGACTATACTATACTGCAAAGCATAACACAGCAATCACTACACTCCTCCAACAAAGTTCAATTCAAATCAGTGTAGGCATAATGTTATTGTGCACTGTGTAAAGAGTCAAATGAGGATTTCTGGGCTCCCATGTCTAGTTGCAATCATTGTTCTGAGAACCTCCTGTCTCAATGATGTCTAAACTTTGCTCCAACTGTCCCCTGATATGCCAATAAAACAGTTAACAGCCAATCACTGAGCAGAGGAAAGAATAGGGCTGGACTTCCTGTCAGCCAGGGGAGGAGAAAGAAAAGGGAGGAAGTAGGGGATTCAGACATGGGCAGAGGTCCAGGAGACATCAGGACAGAGCAACTGAACTGAGAAGCTATAAAATGCAAGTATCTCAGGGATTTACACTGGGAGGAAGCCAGACGTAGAGGGTTAAGAATAGATCAATACTGCTTAGTTCTTGTGGCATAAAGCTTATTAAACAAGTACGATAGTCCAGTCTCAATTATTTGGGTGCTAGCCAGGTTAAAAGAAAAACTGCAAAACTTGCACATTTTTAAAAGTGACACTAACAAATCAAATGTTGACTTTCAGGTCAATAAAGTTTAAATCATTTCATGTCAATTTTCTTCCCACTCAACTGGGACACAAATTTTGCAAAGGCAATTTGTTCAAACTCTTGATACAGGGCTCATGGCACCAATATTTTATCAGTGGTCCAGGAGAGCCCAGCTCCACGGTGCAGGGTGGCAGGGTCCTTAGGAGCCCAGAGCTCTCTACAGCCATGATACTTAAAACCAGGTGGACAAGGCATCGTGACTCTAGGAACTCAAGACCAGCCTGTTATACAAAATGATTTCCAAACCAGCCAGTGAACATGAGACCTTATCTCAAACAATAACACAAACATCAATGAAGGGCTTGAAAGATGGTGCAGTGGTTAAGAGCACTTGTTATGCTTGCTGAGGACCCAGGGTTGATTTTCAGCAACTGTGGTGGCTCACAAGCATCTACAATTCCAGTTCATGGAGATATGATGCCCTCTCTGAACTCACGGGCACCAGGCATACCTGTGGTACACTCAGGCAGGCAAAAAAACTCACAGTAAAAAATTTCAATGTTAAAAAAAGTAAAAACAAGCAAACAAAACACTCAATGCTCTGATCCACTGATGAGACTTAGAGAACACCAGTGAATGTCAACACTGCACAGTTGCAAGCAGAGCTGAAGCACAGGATGATCAGAACACCGGTGACTCGGCTGCTTTCTCTGTAGAAAACCTGACTGCGCTGTATGCAGAGTTGCCTCAACAAGAGATGTAAAAAGCCCAGAACTCTCTTTGGGGATAAGATACATCTGGGAACACTTGGTGGTGCCTGTGAATCCCAGGAAGACTTGAGGGACAACTAGGGACACCTGTGAAATGCTGGAGGGGTTGGATGAATAGCTCATTTGATAAAGGAACCTGTCACCAAGCCTAACCACCCAAGACCAATCTCCAGAACCCACACAGTAAAGAACAAGAACCAACTCCTGCAAGTTATCCTCTGACCTCCACACAAGCACTCACACAATACACATAAAAAGAATAACAAAAAAATAAATTTATGTTTTAAAATGTTAAGCTACAGAGTCCTAAGGCCCCATGATTACTTGAGGGATAGCACTAAGCCACCTACTCCCAACATGGAGGGCGTTAGGCCATCCTCAGATGACAGGGCGGCGGTGGTGTAGATACCGTGGAAATGGCAGCATATGCGCAAGGGCAGAGGCATGCGTGTCAGTAAGCCCCAGGATTCCCAGGGGAGGCCAAGGCACCTAGAGGCTAGGCGGAACCCCAGATCGGGGAGAAAGGCAATAATCTGTCTACTATTGGGTAGCTGTGGCTAAAACATCAGCCACTGGAGCTTCAGCTACTCCACTGACCCTGAGGCCAAACCACACTGAGGGAGGCTGCAAGGCGGGGAGGGGGGGCACACCTCATCTTCAATGTATTACTCAATGAAGAAAGAGCAAGGTGCTGGCCCCTTCCTGTGGTCACAGCCACAGGGCCACACCCTTCCTCCAGCTCTTCATAGCCAGGAGACACAGTGGCTATAGAGGAAGGCCACTGAACTTGCTATAGCACAGAGGAAACCCTCTAGGCTCAGAGCTCTGGCCACAAGGAACAGGAAGGTTGTTGCTCAGGCCTTGGTATGCCCACCTACATCCACTAGGTTACTACCATGGGCACAGGGGCCTCAAACACGCCCTGACACAGGGCACACTGAAGACAGTAAGATCGAGCACTGTACACAACAGAAAACAATGCATAGGAATCAGAATGCGCCCCCCCAAGAGAAGAGTCACTCCTACAAGCAACTTCCACCATTCAGGAACACTGTGGCCAACAACAGCCACATCTAGCCCATTCCACAGGACGGTTTACCACTTACCACTTGCTGTGTGATATTGACATTGGACTGTCCGAAGGTTTTTGGCAGAAGCTGCTTTCCAAGTGTGTTCACTGGGGATGGGTGTACAGCCACAAGAGACACCACACCTGCAATACACGGACATAGGTTAAGAGTCAGAGTGCTTCTCCAGGCTGAGGTTGAGAGGGGCAATTCCAGGAAGATGGTGTGACTAGCAAGAACTCAACTTTCCTAGTTTTGATATTGCAGACCTAAGGCTCAGTCATAAATGTCCTACCCTAAAACTTGGTCCTGAGCCCGCGAGACTACCAGGGTTCACCCTACAGCAGACATCGGATTTGCCGTAGCACCCTCCCCTCCCAGTGGCTGCTCCAGTCATTAAAAGCCCTCACCCTGCCCCCATGGCCACTTCTTTGTTTACTGTGGCAAAATAAAGTAGAATACCTAACATGTTTTTCTAACATGAAGACTGACACACAGAATGCCGAGAAGGCTAAATTTTTAGCTACATATGTAAAAAAAAAAATAATATTAATAATCAGAACATGACTTAGAGCTAACTGTCATTAAAAGAAACTGTCTAAATGTAAAATATATTATAAAGACTTTTCAAAGGAACCAAATGCTTTTAAATGTAACTGTATGGACAGTATCAATTGCTACAATACAGAAAAAGATCCTAAAACATTACATTCACATTTTTGTATTGGAAATCACACCCTTACTATTTGCAGATTTAAGGCAGCAAATTATGAACGTGTAAGACCTGTTGTTTCTCCTTCCTGACCTTAGCCAAAGGAACTACAAGTGTGACATTTCCACGGTTTTTTTGCTTGATTTCTTTTTGGTGTGTGTGCTAGGGACCATCCAGAGCCTCACACATGCCAAGTAGGCATTCTATCTAAAGCCCAACAGGAGAATGAACGGTTTGAAGCAAGTGGCCCCATCACCAAAGAGGTGTATGGGTTCAATGCAGTTCCCATCAAAATACTAACAACATTCTTTACAGGACTAGAAAGCAACTGGCACATAAAACCCCAAAGAGCCAAAGTAACCCCAAACAGAAAGGTAAGTGCTTCAGAAAATGGCAATACTTAATTTCAAATTATAGAGCCACAGTAACAAAGACAGATCCACAGATCGAATGGATGAAAACAGAAGACCAAGAAATACATCCAAGGGGCTACAGACACTGGATTTTCAACAAAAAATGCCAAAACATACACTGGAGAAAAAGCAGCCTTTTCAAATGTTGCTGTGAAAACTGTATTTCCGTGTGCAAAGAATGAAGCTAAATAATCCTGCACAGAAATTTTTGATACACTTCAAATGTATCAAAGGCCTTAATGTAAGACCTCCGAAACTGCTAAAAGAAAACATGATAAAGACTTCAAGTTATAGGTGCTGGCAAGGACTTTCTACAGTCCTCCGCTCTACCAACTGAGCTACTGAAGGGTCCACTGGCAAGGACTTTCTAAAAGGACTCTGACCGCATAGGAAATCATTCCAAGAACTGACAAATAGGATTACGTGAGATTTAAATACTTCTGCAGAGCAGACAATCACCAGTGAAGAGAGGGCTTATACAACATTAGAAAAAAATCTTTGCTAGTTACTCACCTACCACTACATGAATTAAAAAAAAAAAAAAAAAAAAAACCACCAAAGGAACAAATGAACCAATTAATAACTGAGCAAATGAATTACACAATTTTCAGAAGTACAAATAGCCAATTAATACTACATTAATAATTAATAATAACTGTTCAGCAGCTTTAGCCAAGGTAAGTGAAACTCAAAACTACCCTGAGATTCCATTTGACCTGTGAGAATGGCTAGTGCTCAAAAATTAAGTAGCAAATGCTGGAGGACATAGAGGAAACAAGCTCTTAGGCACTGCTGCTAACAATGACAGTTGACACAGTCACCATGGAAAGTCAGTGTGGAGGTTTTGGGTACTGCACTCATGTACACACATCCACACATACACATCTACCATTGAAAATAAAACTAAGAAGCTGGGCGCAGTGGTGCACGCTGTAATCCCAGCACTCAGGGAGGCAGAGGCAGGTGGATCTCGGTGAGTTGAGACTAGCCTGGTCTACAAAGGGAGTCCAGGACAGCCAAGGCTATACAGAGAAACCCTGTCTCAAAAAAAAAAAAAAAAAAAAAAAATAATAATAATAATAATAATAATAAAGAAAATTGAAAAAGAAAACAGAAGTCTTGGCAAAAACAAGAACTAGCTCTTAGGAGCTAAGACGGTGGTTGGGAGCACTTGTTGCTGTAGAGCCTGGGTTTGGCTCCCAGCACCCATAGACTGGCTCACAACTGTCTGTAACTCCAGGGGATTCAACGCCTCTCTGGCCTCTAGGCGTACCAGGCACACAGCTGGTACATGAACATCCACGTACATGCAAGTCAGCACCCACAACTTGGAAGTGTTCTAAGTTTTAAAAAGTTAGTGCTGGGAGTGTGTTCTAGGCCTCGGACACACTAGGCCAAGTGTCCTGCCACCCAGCTTACTGTATATTTAGTCACATGTACGTTAGAAAATGCACGTACTGTAGGGTAGAAAGTGAGCACAGTGACAGGTCAAGATACCCATCACTTCTCACAGCCATGTTGGCCACTGCTTTAGGACAAGAGCAGGCAACACACCTCAGCAGAAATTCCACACAAAACAGTGGGAGGCCTAGAGGCCTCTAAGGCATGTCATGAGGGAATCCCACCACCCTACTTTACCCACATCCTCACTGCTCTCCCTCCAGCTCCAGGTCCAAGTAAACGGCTACGCTCCCTCTGCACTTCTCACGTTTGTTTTCTAACTCTGTATAAGTGGGACCACACAGTAGTTTTCTGCATCTGGATTACTGTCTTGGTGTAACACACTCCCTGCTCATCTCCACGTGACAAATCCAACTTCTTTACAACATTCAAGTCTTCCTGCTCCTTTATACGCTCAGCCACTGACAAACACAGCTGTTTCTGTGGCTGTGCGCAGAACTACAGTAGGTGGGCGTCTTCCTAACAGCGACCTCACCTCCTCTGAGACAGCACACAAGGAGTGGCTGGGTCCTGTGGTCGCTCATCTTTGGTTTCCCAGAGAGCACGATGGTCTTGCTAGCACGCACAAGGGCATGGTGTGCGTGCTTAGGGCAGTGTGTAGGGATCTCAGGTGTCTCACGCCTCTAACAAGGACCTTCACAATTTCTTTTTCTAATTTTCACTTTGTGTGTATAGGCATGTCTGTGTACTTCATGTGTGCATTTCCCGAGAGGGCCAGAAGAGGGCACCCAAGTCCCTGGAAATGGACTTTCCAGGGACAGCTCAATGGAAGCTGTTGTTTGGGTGCTAGGAAGAGATCCAGAACTTCCGGGACAGCACTGATCGTAACTTGGCCATCTCTCCAGCCCTCAACCTTTCCTAGAGGGTCCTAATGGGTGTGGGGGCATCTTTGTGGTTCTGGTCAGCAACAAACTGTGCACACCTCTTGGCCACAGGTGTCTCCTTCATAGCCTACTGTGATTTCACCCACTGTGCTAGAAGCACTGTTTGCCAACCTGGTAAGGACACAGAATGCTGCCAGTCTGTCAGACTCTGAGGGATCCACCTACACACTGGGCTGCTGGTGGGTGCATGAACCTCTATAATACAGCTTTCTTCCTTCAAGGAGTCTCCAGGGACACCACTCCCACACATACGGGTTTCCTACTCACCCAACCCACTGAGGACAGGCTGAGGAAAGAGGGCTCTGAGGCAACGTCTGCCTTAGCTGAGGATGATGAGGTCTCAGTCATAAAGCTACCTTTTAGCCTCTGGACCCTCCCTCATCACCTACACACCACATTTAGGTACACAGGACAGAGGCACCACTCCCTCCAGGTGACCCCACAGGATCTGGCTTCTAGAGAACTTCCCTTACCTCAGGCAAGGCTCACAGCTTCTGAAATGTCGCTGTGGTGCTAAAAATGGAAACAAGTTAAAAACGAAAGGACAAGAAAATAAATGAGGCCTCTCCTGATGCCAGGGGGGTGGCTGTAAAGAGGGTCTCATCAAATCTCGTGGCCCTCCTCTGTGTAACTGCCACAAGGCCACCCTCCAGCCCCCCCCCCCAAAAAAAAAGTCTGACCCACGTTTGGGCTTCAGTTCGACACTCACCATGGCAGCTAACACATGTCCAAGACCACACAGACCACACTAGGCTCTGGCACACACCATCATTAAAATTTCCTCTCACCTCTAAGTCTAATTTTGAGGCCAAAGACAATCCTGAAGCAGAAAGGAAATACAGACATACTCTGAGGGCAGATGTGATCCTTGTCGGCTAGGTGAGGATGAGCAACAGGAGCAGGCCACATCTGGAGCACACAGAGAAAAGCCGGAGTAACCCAGCACTGAGTACAGATGAGAAGCCAGGCCCCCTGCACTGTAGTAACCTACAGCAGGCAAGGAGCTGGGGACAACTATGTCACACTATGACTGGGTCCGGACACCTTAGAATTTCGGGAAAAGGGGATTAGACAATGTCCAAACAAGAAAAGAGTTCTAGACAAATGGTGAATAATGAAAGGTAGTAAATGGCTTTATACCATTCTCAGAAACTGTGATAGAATGAACTGCAATCAGGGTAGACAGTGACAGCCATCACAAAGATGTTTCCAGCACACAGCAGGATTGGGAAGGGTCCCAAAGCTTAGCCCACGTGAACACTTGCACTGCACACTGAGGCAGGCTGGTAGCATAATCCCTCAATTACTGGGCCAGAGGCAGACGTGCATGTGCTAGCTGCCCCTGGGGGGAAGAAACTGAGAGGAGAAACATTATACATATTAGGAAGTGCGATGGCAGCACCCCAGGGCAGACTCTGTGGGCAATTGGAAGTCACAGAGTTAAGAGGACCGTCACAGGTAGCAGAGCAAGCTGACAACCCAACACCATGCTGGCAAGGACATAAGCCCATGTCCTGGAGCCCACCAGCACTGACAGCAAGGAAGTGCAATGATGCAGCAGGTGGTAGCCCCAAGGCCCAGCAGCTCCAAGGCACTAACCAGGAACAGTGAGCCCACAGAATGACAGCACTATGACAGTCTACCAAGCATCGGGCTGCAGTAAGTCAGAGCAGACAAGACAGCTATACTAGAAGGCCTGCTGTGTCACATTCCTGATGAGACCCAGCTTGGAAATGCAAATTGTGTGTGTTTTTCTGGGGGGAAGAGGCTCTACTCTGAGTCTCAACAACTGCAAAGGTCAGGTTCATGTATCCGTCTGCTGAGGCCGAACTGCCCACTCCTCTCTGGCACAGCACTCTAGACCTGCCGCCTACAACCAAAGCCTCTCTTTATGTGTGCACATGAGGACTTCCATCACTATGTCTGTGGATGTTGACAGGAACAGTGGAACTAAAAAGGCCCCTCTGCAGCATGAGAAAACGGGGGAGGGCTCCCACAGGGCTAGGAGGCCAAGATGTGAATGAAGGACACGGACCCAGCAGATTACCAGTTACCCAGTCTCAACAGCACCAAAGCAGTAACAAAGCAGGAAGCCAACCCATCAGCCTCCTTCCCTCATCAGGGAGGTACCCTTTCTCAGAGATAGACCCCACCACTGTCAACCAGGTTACTCTGTACAGTGTCGTCTGGTCAATGTGGAGTGTACCTGGCCGTAGGGCCTTGAGGAGACAGCGAACTAACCACAGGGACCAGACAGAAGAACGATGTGGCAGGAAGTGGAGGCCTGCCTCCTCACACCACAGCTTCTCCTGGCCAGCTCCTGTTTTTTTTTTTGTTTGTTTTTTGTTTTTTTTTTTGAGATCTGACTCAAGAGATGCCTCCAGTGTAAAATACTCTGATTATTCTGAAAAGGAAGGGTTGGGGTCCTGCGCTCTGCATGCATAGGCATTGCTGGCTGGTCCAAGGATAGGGTAGGGTGCAGAGGAAAAACACCTGCCCAGTGATTGCTTGGGACACACATACACACGCACACGCACACACACACACACACACACAAAGAAAAAGAGAGCTGAGAGACACACACAGGAGTGGGATTCCAATGTGATGGCATAAATGACACTATAGGCTTTTTACCTCGACAACTAAGAGAACTCAGCGAGCAGTTTAGAGGCAGCACAACACTCCATCACCAGCAAAGACAAAAGGCTCACTTGTGCAGACAGTTATCTCAGCCCTCACTTGGATGGAGATTCTGGAAAGTCTACTGCTGTCCCACCAGCAGAGGAACAGAAGAACCAGCATGTGCTAACAAAGGAAAGTGTCTCCATAGCACAGGGCCAAGAATTCCCATTACTAGGCAGTACCTGGGATCCTGGGCCTCACCGCACTACCCTATGCAAGTATGTTTAGCCAGGCCTCTCTGAAACCTCCAATTTCACTGCCCAGGCCACCCGTCAGGAGCAAGGATTGCACACAGGGCAGACAGACAGTTCTACACAGGCCAGCTCTCTAGAAGAGTCACTAGAAACAAATAGCAGTGCTCATCTTTTGGGAAGGGAAGATCGAGTGAAGGGAGACATCACTGCATTTCCCAAACATTAGAATTCAAAACAGCCTCAGTGAACAACATGTGTTGCTTGTGAGGCAACCTCATCCTAAGCACCAACTATAGTACTGGTCCACACAAGGTGCCAGCCAATCCAGTGAGCAGCACCAGCCTGTCCCAAAATCCATGCAGGCCCAGAGCCAGTCTGTCATGGCTGATAACAAAAGCCAGGAGTAAAAGGAAGCCAAGGACGTGAACAGTCAGACCATAAACAGCTGCATGGATCTGATGTCCTAACCTTCCCGACAGGTAGGTCAACCTTAGCTCAAGGTCAGACCTGTGTGCATCTCATCAAACATGTGAAAAGCATGGGCAAGGCTGACTGGGGCTTGGCAGACCACAGCAGAATTCAAAACACTAGAGGAGGGAGGATCATGTCCAGAAAAAAAGAGGATGCTATTCCAGCTCCATCACTTGGATGGAGAACACTGTGGCTGCAACTCCTGAAACCTCACTGTGTTCCCTGAGTGACACTGAGGTTCATTTCCTGCAAGCACGAGAGAATACTGCCAACCATGAAGGCAAAAAGCCCCCACCTGCACCAGACACTGCCTCATCCCTACTAAAGCCCTGGCAGACACACAGGCTCACACATCCTCATGACTGAGGGTCCTGTGTGTGCCACTGTGAGGGGCAGGGACCACAGACCCAGGCTTGGAACAGGAAGTAAAGGCCAAATCCTCTCACTTCTATGTCCACACAGGTGAGAACCAGAAAGGACACAGCATGGCCCAGGTGCATCTGGACCTGGTCCTGGGGGCTAGAGACAGCTGACGAGCCCTAGGCTCCAATATATATAAAGTGTAGAATATCAGAACAAATGGCACAACTGGGAAAAGAGAGAAGGCCAAGTTAGGGCCAGATCACCATTCTCCAGACCTCAAAGCCTCTTCTGCAGGCAGCAGTCACTGTCCTGGGCCTCGCTACTACGAAGAAAATAGCTAACTTTACACGTGCAAACCAGAAATAAGGAACTCTTCAATAGAACCCAGAACCCTGACATGCCCAGTTCTGGTTCACAGGGCCCTTGCCTGACCTAAAGGAAATATTTCTGGGGACAACAGGGCCTTACGGCACTAAAAGGCCACAGTGCTTTGCAGAAACAGCTCAGCACTGTGGGGATGTGGTGCTGCAGGGTCTGCACACAGCGGCAACACAACACACAGACAACACCACCCAGGGTCCACATATGGAAGCCACCAAGTGAGCAGGATACTGGCAGCTGTTTGTTGTTAGAGAGCAAGGCTCTTGAGACAGTGGGCCTCAGCCTTCCATCTGGCACACCCAACTCTTGCTGCAGCAGGCTCCCTAAGAAAACATGGACCTGTAGGAGTCACTGAAACACAGCATGATGTGCCTGAAGAGAAGATGTGCCCTCCAATGGGGGCACAGGGAGGCATCCACCTTTGGGCAGAAAGAACACACACACCAACTTCCCTCTCACACATTCCTGCACTTCCTGACATCTCAAAGCACTGCAGCGGGCCCTCAGTTAGCAAGGCATCAACATACCACACAATCATCAGCAGACTTACATTTCCAGAACAGGCTCCCTTACCTTTCCCAGGACTAAGATTCTGGTCTATAAAGACCTTTAGTTCTCCGTTGGCTTCAATTAGACTGGCCTGCAGAGAGCAACAACAACAACAGTAAATACAACGTCTCAAGAGCCACACAGCCAAAGTTGTTAAACACACCAGGCCTAAGTTAAGCATACGGGCAGAGCACTGCTACACAGAATGGCTCAACAGCAGCAGGAGCTCCAGTGCTGCAATGCTTCCAAGTGGCCACCAAGACTGGGAACAGTATGACCCACAAATCCAGTCATAAAAAGCCAGGACTTTGATGGCAGAGGAAAATGGTCACCAGGTGATACGTGAGAGACAGGACAGATCTGATAAAGTCAGCAGGAACACATCAGGAAGGAATCTTACCAGACTGTCACTCTCAGCCCTCTCCAGGAAACCTCGGAAAACGTTTATTCCCACTCTTACCAAAAAAGGTCAAGCCTGGAAGGAACATCATTCACACCAAAGGCGACTGTGCACAGCCGCTGGCTGGCGGCAGGGGTCAGGAGGTAGCAATGGAGCCGGGACTGAGCATTCAATCAATATTCTTCCACAAATAATAATAACAATAATAATGCTGGTGACATTAAGTGAGGAAGGGGACAATGACCAAGAAAAGCCCAGCAGGAGGGACAGCTGCTGGTGACTGTGACTAGGCCAGGAATCCAACACACCAAAGGTAGTCAAGTCACCTGAGTGTGGAAAGGCCAGGTGAGATGGCCAGGTTGGAAAGCTAAACAAAGTCACATGGTAACACAGTTACAGATGGGAGGGAGTACCAGGATGTTAACGTAAGACAGGATTCAATAAGGCCAAGAAGGTAAGGCCAACAGGTTAAAGCCAGGTTAGAAAAGCCAGGGGACTCAATAAATCCAGGTACATAAAGCCCAAGTTTAAAGCTAGGAATTAAGGTAATGCTAGGTCAATCTAAGATACTGAGGTTACAGGGCCAGGTAAAGCCAGAAGACTCAGGGAGGAAATTAAAAATTAATGCAAGAACGTCACAAGCACGAGACTTGGTGGACTACATGAGCTCAGTGGATAAAACTATGTGAGCTAAGGAAGGTGGGGAAGAACCCAATGTAGGCTGATGAGGAACAGTCAGCAACCTAAAGCCAATAGGGCGTGAACTGCAGTGTTAGGCTAAGTGTAAGGAGCTGCTTCCTGGAATGCTCAAGGCCCCAGGCTCCAACTCCAGCACCACCAAAATGAATAAGCAAACATTCAAAAACTACTCTAGGTAGGAGGGCCAAATTGGGAGGACCAGGTTGGGAAGGCCAGTAGAGTAAGGCTAAAAGATTATAAACTGCAGGTAGGTAAGAGCCTCCTAACTCAGGGCAAAGGAAAGCTAGTAGGTTAAAACCCTGATGAGAGTGAAGAAGTTTCAGCAGGATGGGTGAGCTCTGTGGGCTGGGTAATGGCAGCTGCTAATCCACAAGGAAAGAACCAGCAAAGAAAGGCCCCGTGGGTAGGCTAGGATGATTAAGTCAGCAAGTAAAAGCAGGGAAAAGTCCAAAAGGCTGAAGCACAGAAGTTAGGCTCAGGAAGGGGAGGCCAGAAGGGCAGGCTAGGTGGGTCCACCCAGGTAGGTGAACCAGGATATTAAGGCTGAGTGGGGCAGGCACCGAATGGATAAGGCTGCTGAGTACAGCCCAACAGGGAACTCCAGGGAAATGATGTGCTAAGATCAAGAAGCTCTGAAGCCGGAAGCCAAAGCTGACCACATTAGGCCAGCTAAACAGAGGCAGGCTTGGGGCTAAGGCTAGGTGGGGCAGGCCAGGGGGCCAATGAGGCAAAGAGGTTAATAAAACCAGGAGGAAGAGAGTTGCTGGGAGGCAAAGGCCAAGGCCCCAGGGCCAGTGAGTAAGGAATACTCAATACCAGGTCAGGCAGGCAGATGCAGCCTGGAGATCTGGAACAGGTCTAGTGATCCTGAGTCCCAGTTTTAGCAATTATAGCTCAGAGCAGTGCTCCTTTCCCAGGATCCCTTGGCTGCATGGGCTTAGGAGGGGGTGGGGCTCCTGGTACAGTCACAACACACCACTGCTCCTGTCTCTGGCCCCATGTGCCACAACTGGCCGGGTCAAGCAGGATAGATTCACCCTCTTGCTGGAAAAGCAGGCACTTGGCATTACTCCCTTTTGTCATTCTCTGGCACCTCCTGACTACCGCCCAACTTGCCCAACACTGCTTCTGGGTTATACAGGAGAGCTGCTCTCTGAAGTCAGCACGCTACTTCTTTGCAAGTCTCCTTTCTGACCACTCGCTGACCACCAAAGCAGCACAGGGCAGAGCACCCTGGGACAGGCCTGGAAGAGCAGGCGCATTGGCTGTTCCTGGATCACGGTGACAGATGCGGACAGTATGGACAGAATCATTTCCTTCCTTGTCCATTAAAGAGTCTACCTCAGTGGAACTCAAGCCCACCACACGGGAATACTGCTTAGGAACACAGCACCTAAAACACAACCCAGCCCAGGGACTTAGCACTGCACCATGTTTGTGTTTCTAAGTTTTATTATGTTAACCTCTCACAGAAACCAGTTTGACACCCACCACAGAACAAATCACCTCCTTGAGGTAAATGCTGCTAGCATGGACCTAGGAAACTCCTCAGCTATGCTCCTCCTGCCTCAGGTCATGTTCAGCCTTGACGTGAACCCATCATCCCAACTCTGGATGCTGTGTCACTGTGGGGAGACATCCAGCTGGCCCCAGCAGGGTCCCTCCCTTCCACTTAGCCCTTGCTTTCTGCTTCAGGCATTAAAGAGCTCACTGGCCAGGCAGGATCAGATTTGTCTCAATTTGGTGGCCATCAACTTAAAAGTAATCAGGAAGCAATGGACCAAGACAAAAGAAAGAAACACATGAAGCCACAGCTCTGCCACCCACTACTCCAGCCATGTCGTCAAACAGGAGTTATTCCCCCAAAATCCTACTAAGTCCCTGTTGATGCCCTGGTGTTTATCACTTTGCTCAAAAAGCTGCCATATGAACCGACTGGAAACTGGAGCCTCAGCCTATGGATTCACTGGCCACTCACCACGTTTGGCTGAACCCTCGATGCACACCTGTATCCTACAGGGTTCCTGGATAGCTCCCAGGAGAGGTTAACCTTCACTACACCATGCTCAGGAACACTTCTCACTATACGCCCATTGTACCTCCCAGTGTGACAAACAAAATTATCTCTAGATTGCAAAACTTTTGCCCTCAGTTGAGGACCACTGGCTTTTGGTCATGATCTCATGACAATGCTCCTAACAGATCTGCTTTCCAGAGCTAGCAGTAAATACACAGCTTTGTGCTCAGCCCCTTTTCAAGTAGTATCCTGAGATCTGACCCAAAAGACCCAGTAGAAGGCTCCTGGGGCCAGCTAAGGCCCACCACAGCTTGCCCCAATGTCTCACAGGCAGAGGCCACTGATTCATAAAACATGGTGTCAACACAAAAGTGAAATGTGAGTCTCCTTTCCATAAAGGAAGCTAGGAAACAAAACCACAGGGGTTTTCCTCACAGGGCTGAAGACCATCAGCACAGTCTCTGCCCAGCTGACACTGGGGGACAGCAATCTTCTCGTAGAGACCTGATTGTTACAGAAAGCTCGCTACCCCTAAGCCAGCAGCCCAGACCAGTGTGTAGTGGGAGACAGCCTTCCCGAAGGATCCGCTATGGTCTAATGTTTACCTCCCACATTCAAATGTTCAATGCACCCTTCAAGTAGAGAAACAGGACATTTAGGAAACCATAAGGCTGAGGGAGAAAGCCTTTGTGATACAATTGGAGGCCTCTACAAGAGGAAGCCCAGACAGCTGCTAACCTTTCACCATGTGGGAACACAGCATGAAGAAACCAGAAGAATATTATTCCCTTGAAGGTCCCCTCTTCCTCAATACATTATTTTCCTTAATAAGTCTATCTTCGATCTATTTAAAAAAATAAAAAGCCAGCCATAACAGCAAATCTGCCTTTGATATTGAACCTGCAAGTAGATTTCACACGGTTAGCACAGGGTGATTAACAGTGGCACCGTGGAGCCTCTTCTCAAAGGACCTGACCAGGTCTAGGTTCACTCTATCAGCACAGCTCTGAGATTCCATGATCAGAATGCACAGCTATAGCCATGTGAGTACACACGCTCCAGCCACAACTACCCTGCCTGGTGACTACAAAGGGTGGTAGAAGCAGATGGGCTGACCAACGGTAAAGACAACACAACACAAACCCACAGAGCAGAAGACATCCTTAGCCTTCTCTGGAACAGAGAATCACCGATGCAGATGCAGCTCCATCACATGGATTATGAAACTGCCACACAGCACCACAGCAGCACGAGTGGCTGCTCAGTGAGCCATACCCTTCTTTGCTTTTCATTTTTTTTTTTTTTTTAGGGGAGAAGGTGGCTTAGAAAAAACCTGTAGTAGCTCCCCTTCCTCCCAAGCTAGGGCCACAGTAAAGCACTGAGTAGAGGCCAGAGGCTACTTGGTGGAATGTGGCAAAGAATAGTGATGTCACCCATGAGCACCAACCATCTACTTCAGAGGTCACATTATTTGCAGGGTCATACTATAAAGTCCCAGCTGGCCAGCGGTAATTATGACAACAGCATATTCAAGGGTGGCAACGGATTCAAGTAGCCACATGACTTACAAGGTCCCCAGCAACGACCCCATCCCTCTGCCCACTTTCCATTAGCACATTAGGGATCAGAGTAATTGCACTGAACTTTGCTCTCCTTCGATACCTTTAAGCTGGACAGCCCAGTCAACTTCCAGGGAGACATTAACTTCCCTTAAAACAAAAGAAAAATCTGCCGATACTGGCTGGTCTCTCTATCCTGCTCTAGCCAGGTCTGTAATAGAAGAAGCAGCAGCAGATAACAATGACCACAGTGACCATGACCACCACAACGATCCCTTCCAGAGAACGACAATGATGTCAACTCACCAACAGCAAGCACCAGACTTACATACAATTCTGTTCATTTATCTTGAGGGTTGCTTGCCAACAGCCAACTTTCACAAACATGACAGCCCCAGCCCCAGTGACAACCCAGA